TCCTGATGCCTTGGCCTCCCAAAGTGCCGGGATTCCAGGCATGAGCCACCACGCCAGGCCACGATTAGATCTTTCTGCCTCAGAAGGCTTTGCTTGTCTTCCTGCTACATCATGAGGCCTGCAGAGGAATTTTCCTGCTCCTTAAATTAGTGAAGGTTGGGCCGTTGACTATCCCAAGTTTTAGGTATCTCACAGCCACCTAGACTCACCTGTTACCCAGGGGCAAGACCTGACTGGGTTTAACTTCACCGAATTTCCTACCTGGAATCCACTCACCTCCCTAAATGGATTTGTCTTTGGTCACTGAGAGAGCTGCCTCTTACCTCCTGTTAAAGAGAAATAGAACCGCACACTAGTTACCGGTCATGAAGATGGATTTTATTTAGTATTGCTGCAACATGGGAGAGAGGCTTCAGGACAGAACTGAGCTCAGCTCTGAATACAGCAGCAGTGACTGGGGATTTACTGCCAGCCAGCGGAGCTGAGGGGTCAGTGGTTGGAAAGCGACTGAGACGTCAAGAATGGAGGGATTCTTGCTGAACTGGCCTAATGGGACGCTTGCTAACGGCAAGGGTGGGAGATGAGAAGCTTGGTCAGATGTCGGGGTGGGGGGTTCTGCTAAACTGACCTAGCAGAATTCTTGCTGGAAACTGGACTAGGCAGGCCCAGGACAGGGCCCAAGGATGAGGTCACATAAAAGAGAGTGCTCAGAGGAGCATCTAAGGTTTGGTCAAGGAGAGAGTCTTTGTCACTCCCCAGCAGATGCCAGGACAAAGGCAGCTGAAGACCCACAGTGCTAGTTGATTGTAGGGGTAAGTCATCTCCCCTTGGTGTGACTTCCAACAGTCAAGGACTTTGGCTGAGCTGAAGGCTGTCTTGGAGAAGGAACGTGCACCTGAGATGCACTGTAACTCCCACTGAGGGGGCAGGCAGCATTTCGTGGGTATTTCCCCACAAGCTTCTCTTGAGTAAGAAGCTTTTAGTCATAAGAGTGAAGATGACCCAGTCATTCAGATGCAGGAGCAAGGCAGGGCCCGTCCTCCCCCTCCCCACAGTGTAACTCATGTGTCACCCGGGCACACCTGAACCCACAACTGCTGGCCAGCAGCTCCCCGGGGCTGGGAAGGGACGAGCTCTTGCTTTAGCTCATGTGTTTGGGTTGGGATTAGCAGATGAACAAGCAGTTTTCTCCTGAGCTCATCCGGAAATGGAGGGTAGAGTCTGGGAGCATTCTTTCTCTTTCTCCCTCACTCCTCATATTTTCACATCACTTCAGTGGCCCCGGCATCCTGCTTCCCCAGAACACACCCCTGCCCTGAACTCGCCAGACCTCTTCCTGCCAGCTGGACCGGCTGGAAACAGGAGAGACCTTGATGACGGAGGGACAAAGCTGCAGAAGTCCCTGTAACCATAGCATGAGTGGAGGGTTAACATCTGCAGAAACCCAAAGGCAGGTCCCCCGCGGAGGCCTCTGCGCCAGCACTCCTCAAAGTCTGTGCCAGAAAGTACCCACAGGAGAAAATGTGGGCAGAACGAGAAAACCTGGGCCTGGGAGACAGAGGAGCTCTCTGTTCTAATCCTGGCTGCAGAACAACGAGCTCTGTGACTTTAAGCTCAGAGCGCTCTGTCCCCATCTGTAAAATGGGGTGATGGAGCTGGCCTCTCAGGAGATTCTTAGAAGGTTCAGATGCAGTCACGCCTGTGAGGCACTCAGCAAGCACGAAAGGGCCCACACAAAGCACAACCATGTAAGAAAGGCACTCGCCCCACACCTGCCTGCCAGCGTTTCCCACCCCTCCCTAGGCCTGTTACGTAAACACTGGGTACTTTCGCCATCAATGCGCCCAACTCAATGAAACCCATCTTCACCATGATCTATGTCTATCCAACATGCTCTACTATCTCACATGCGCTATATTCTATCTGTGCTATCGTGGCTGTCTGTGTATCCGCGTGGCTGTATTCTGTTCTGGCGGGTGAGGCGTGTGTGTTCGGTGAGCATTAGCAGTGATAAGATTGTGGCTGGCTGCTGTCCGCGTGGCTGTGTTCTGTGTCCGTGTGGCTGTATTCTGTGCCCGCGTGGCTGTCTGTGTCTGTGTCCGCGTGGCTGTGTTCTGTGTCTGTGTGGCTGTCTGTGTCTGTGTCCGTGGCTGTCCATGTTACCCGATATCGTGGGCTGGCTGTGTCCACTGGCTGTGTTCTGTGTCGCGTGTGGCTGTCTGTGTCTGTGTCCGTGTGGCTGTGTTCTGTGTCTGCGTGGCTGTCTGTGTCTGTGTCCGCGTGGCTGTCTGTGTCTGTGTCCACGTGGCTGTCTGTATCCGTGTCTGCATGGCTGTCTGTCTGTCCGTGTAGCTGTGTCCCACGTGGCTGTCTGTGTCCGTATGGCTGTGCCCACGTGGCTGTCTGTGTCCGCGTGGCTATCACCCAGCTGTTCTGTGTGCCCGTGGCTGTCTGTGGCTGTGTCTGCGTGGCTGTGTCTGTGTCCGCGTGGCTCTCTGTGTCTGCGTGGCTGTCTGTGCCTGTGCCTGCGTGGCTGTGTCTGTCTGCGTGGCGCTGTGTCCGCTGGCTGTCTGTGTTCTGTGTCCGCGTGGCTGTCATGTGTTCTGTGTCCGCATGGCTGTGTTCTGTGTCGCGTGGCTGGCTGTGTCTGTGTCAGCGTGTCTGTGTCAGCGTGGCTGTGTCCATGTCCGCGTGGCTGTCTGTATCCCACATGGCTGTCTGTATACGCATGTCCACATGGCTGTCTGTGTCTGTATCCGTGTGGCTATGTCCCACGTAGCTGTCTGTCCATGTCCGTGTGGCTGGCGCCCACGTGGCATCCACATAGCTGTCTGTGTTCGCGTGGCTGTGTTCTGTGTCACGTGGCTGTGCTGTCTGCTCCGCATGGCCTCTCTACCTGTGTCCGCGTGAGCTGTCTGTGTCTGTGTCAATGTGGCTGGCACAACTGTCTGTGTCTGCGTGGCTGTCTGTGTCTGTGTCCGTGCGGCTGTCTGTGTCTGCGTGGCTGTCTGTGTCTGTATCCGTGTGGCTGGCTGGCTATCCGTGTCTGCGTGGCTGTGTCTGTGTCTGCGTGGCTGTCTGTGTCCGCGTGGCTGTCTGTGTCTGCGTGGCTGTCTGTGTCTGTGTCCGTGTGGCTGGCTGTGTCCGTGTCTGCGTGGCTGTGTCTGTGTCCGCGTGGCTGTCTGTGTCTGTGTCCACGTGGCTGTCTGTGTCTGTGTCTGCGTGGCTGCTGTCCACGTGGCTGTCTGTGTCTACGTGGCTGTATTCTGCTGTCCGCGTGGCTGTGTTCTGTGTCCGCGTGGCTGTGTCTGTGTCCGCGTGGCTGTCTGTGTCCGCGTGGCTGACTGTGTCTGTGTCCGTGTGGCTGACTGTGTCTGTCCGCGTGGCTGTCTGTCACCGTGGCTGTATGCAATCCGCGTGGCTGTCTGTGTCGGCGTGGCTGGCCTGTGTCTGTGTCCGCGTGGCTGTCTGTGTCCACATGGCTGTGTCCTGTCCCGGCGTGGCTGTCTGTGTCCATGGCTGCTGTGTCTGTATCCATGTGCCCGTCTGTCATCACGTGGCTGGCTGTGTCTGTGTCCACATGGCTGTGTCTGTGTCCGTGGCTGTCTGTGTCTGTGTGGCTGTCTGTGTCCACGTGGCTGGCTGTGTCTGTGTCCACGTGGCTGTCTGTGTGTCCGCGTGACTGTGTTCTGTGTCTCGTGGCTGTGTCTATGTCACGGCGTGGCTGTCTGTGTCCGTGTGGCTGTCTGTGCTCCGTGTGGCTGTCTGTCCGTGTCTGCGTGGCTGTCTGGTCCGTGTCACGTGGCTGTCTGTGTCTCTGCTGGTGCTCACATGGAGTTCCTGTGACACTTCTGCCTACTCTCGACTCTTGGCTCTCAGGGTCAGGGACCTGTTCATTCCCTTCCAAGCAGTGCTCACCCACAGCATCCTGAGGACATCGTGGTGAAGCTGTTGGAGGAAAGGGAGGCTCAGTGGAAATCACCTGCACACTGGGGTCTAATCTCAGCCTTGCCACTACTTGCTGAGTGAGCCTTGATCAGCCATTTGACCAGTCTGAGTCCCATTTCCTCCACTCAAAGAGAGGGGCGAGGTGATCTACGAAAGCCTCTTCTAGCTTTCAGTGAACCATGAGTTCTGGTTTGTGACTAACAGTAGTTTTGGTTCTGCTTATTACAGCCCAGCAATCTCCTTTCAGACGGGAGTCCCAGCCTTTGGGAGTGTCAATGGCGGCCGGCCGCCGGGCTGATGCTCCCCGGCCCTCACCCTGGTGCAGCCCTTGCCTCCTGACTTGGTGTGAATGCATGTGTGCACCCCCAGTTCCTGTTCCCTCCTCCCTCTACTTCGTGGTTTGACTTTTCGCCTTCCCAGATGTGTGCATGGCCCCAGGCCTGGCCCCAGACCTTTGGGGCACGGCTGCATCAGCCACACAGCCTCCCAATAGCGCCACCAATATGCCAGAACCTGTCTCTCTCTCAATGAATTTCTCATTGTTTGAACAGGCCCTGCCTCCAAACCCCGCCCTGCATGTATAGGATTGAAACCGTCGGCCCGGTGAGTCAGTGGAAGGCTCCCCATAGATTAGTAACCGCCTGCTGTTCCCTGGGCTCAGGGCACAGGAGCTGAGCAGGAAGGGAAGAGTGTACCGCCTGTCCGACCATCTCTCCACAGCAGCTCTTGGGGAACATTGGCCTCCAGAGGCAACCGGGGAGAAGCAGGCCGGTAGTGGGAGCCCGTAATTCCATGCTCACCGGGACTGGCTCCTTCTCTGGTTTCTGGAAGGCGGTGACTGCTGATGGGATGTAAGCTCATCTCCTCTCTCTGCCCTCTGGACCTTGGCCAATCTGCAGCTATCTCCTGCCCCCAGCCCCGCCCTCTTCCCCCACCCTCTGAAGAGAGGTGGCTTACAAGGAAGGCGAATCCCTCTTTAACCTTCCAGATCTTTTAGATGTATGAGGTTTCCAGATTCGCAGCCTGAGGGCTCCTCTCATCCCCTCCCACAGGATATGGCAGCTGGAGAGAACTGGCCAAGGCTCTGGCCAGCAGGAACATTCCAGCTGTGAGATCGCACCTCGAGTTCTACCATCCCCAGAAGGCTGAGCCTCCCGAGAGGTAGGTGCCGTCCAGTCCACTGTCCTGCCGGGGGCAGCAACAAGGTCCTCGGGTACTCTGCCCAGTTGCCTTAAGAGGCTAACCCCTTCTCAGGAGGAGAGGCAGAGGAGAAACAGCCCCCAGAATCTGTAGTCTCTACTCTGGGAGGAGAGGCAGAGGAGAAACAGCCCCCAGAATCCTAGTCTGGCCTCAGGACCTCCTAGCTGAGCCATAGAGATGTCCATCCAGCCTCCTCCAAGCCTGGGGCTGCCACTGGGCCTGGTTTTCTGGAGTCTGCCCTTGTGCCCTAGTTCAGTCTGCCCATGCCAGAACCACTCCGGGCCTGTGACCTCCATCACCAGTGGCATGTGGTGCCTCTCACTCGGGTGAGGGCCAGGCTATGCTGTGCTTGCTGCTGAGATCAGAGGCGACGAGGTGGATGGACACCCCTCCCTGCCCTTAGCTGGGATATGTATAGACTTGTAGTGAAACATTTCCCTGTAGTGTTTCTTGAGCCGACGGTCCCTAAGGAGGCAGATGAGAGAAACTGGGGTGTAATTCAGTCAGGAGCCCCAAGGCTGAGCCTGGAACAGACATGTATCCCAGAGCTGGACCGCAACCAAACTGAGCCTGTGGACCTGCACGATAGGGAGGGTTTGGAGGTGTCCCTGAGGGGCTCCCCCTTGTTGGAACCCAAATCTAGAGATCTGGGGGATAAGGAGGAAGAGGGAGCCAAGGTCCCTGCCCTCAAGGGGTCCTGACCTAATGAGGGTAAACCTTTTTCCCATATGGGGAAGACAGAGAATTCAGAAAAGTGAAGGAACTGGAGGAGCGTGCATTGATGAAACTACGGAGACGCATTCCCAGGGACACGGTGTGAATGGCATGCTCTGAGCCGACACCCCTGGGAACAGGCACTGTGCCTCCTGGCCCTCTGCTTCCCCACGGGCACTTCCAAGGGGCCTAAACCCTGTCCTGCCTGTGGTTTCTCACCCTAATATTCCTACCAAGTTCATTCTTCATTCTTCCACTAGGACCATGAAATGGACCAAGGTGGGAGCAGTAACAGCAGCTACTTGAAGTGGAACAAGCCTGTCCCCTGGCTCTCGGAGGTAAGGGCATTTCTAGAGCTAAACATGGTTTTTACAGATAATTCCAGAGATCACGGAAAACTTTCTACTAGTGAATTTAAAATTTTTAAAAATTATTTATGTAGTTAGTTTTTCGTTGCTGTTGTTTTTAGAGAAAGGGTCTCACTATGTTGGCCAGGCTAGTCTCCAACTCCTGGGCTCAAGCAATCCTCCAGCTTCAGCCTCCTGACGAGCTGGGATTACAGGTGGGTGTGACTGCATCCAGCTTAGCGGTTTCATGAAAATTTCTCACTCCAAGCGTTCCAGGTTGATTCGATTTCTCTCTCTCTCTCTTTTTTTTTTTTTTTTTTTTTTTTTTTTTGAGACGGAGTCTCGCTCTGTCGCCCAGGCTGGAGTGCAGTGGCCAGATCTCAGCTCACTGCAAGCTCCGCCTCCCGGGTTCCTGCCATTCTCCTGCCTCAGCCTCCCGAGTAGCTGGGACTACAGGTGCCCGCCACCTCGCCCGGCTAGTTTTTTTTTTGTATTTTTAGTAGAGATGGGGTTTCATCATGTTAGCCAGGATGGTCTCGATTTTGTGACTTTGTGATCCGCCTGTCTTGGCCTCCCAAAGTGCTGGAATTACAGGCTTGAGCCACCGCGTCCGGCCCGATTTCTCTCTTTAGAGAAGGAACACTTACATTTGCCAAAGGCCTACTGCGCGGCAGGCTTTGCAGATCATCTCATCTCAGCTTTGCGACCCTGTGAAACAGTATCATTATCCTCATTTTATAGGTGGGAAAACAAGGCTCACGAAAGCTAAAAGACTTTCATGGCCACGCCAATCCCCAGTCTTCAAGATAAGCGTCCCAAACTGTCTGTCTTGGGCCACTATCTTAAATCCCATAAGATATTCCATGAAGAAAAGAGTCCATTGTTAAATACGTTTTTAAAACTGTAATATACTACCTTGCCTTCCTGGAAATGTACATTAGCATATGAAAGAGTATGGGAAGTTCTGCAGCCATCTGTTTAACTTGGTTTAGCTCAGCATGTCTCGGACTGAATTGCTTTTTTCCATGAAATGCCTGTTGTACTCTCTGAAACTAGTGCTCTAGGTTTCATAGAAATGCTCTGAGGAACATGCACTGGGAAACTGCTTTGGAAAACTTGTACAGGAAGCGGTTCCATGTGAATAAAGGCTATCAGAGCCATCATAATACTTTTCATTTTTATAGGCTTTGATAGATGGTGTTTCTTCTTTTCGTTTTTTATTTTTTAGAGACAGGGTCTTGCTCTGTTTCCCAGGCTGGAGTGTACAATCACAGTGGCACAATCATAGTTCACTGCACCTTGAACTCATGAGTAGCTAGGACTACAGGGGTGTACCACCACTGCCTGGCTAATTTTTTAAAATATTTTTTGTAGAGACAGGGTCCCACTATATTGCCCAGGCTGACCTCAAACTCATGGCCTCAAGCGATCCTCCTGCCTTGGCCTCCCACAGTGCTGAGATTACAGGCGTGAGCTAACAGGCTTGGCCCCAGATTCTTTTTCTTTTGGTGAAGAAACTGAGGCTCGGAAGTTAATTAACATACACGAGATTACCTTGAGTAAATAAATCCTTATGCCAAGATTTCCAAGTAGCACGGTGCTTTGGGGATGAAAATTTTAAATTTGAGTTTCCTATTTTACAACTTGTTTAGAACCCGGTGTCTTTAGTCTCGAGGCCCTGCGGACACAGGTGACTTTTCTTGGCTGGGTGGTGCTGGCTAGTACTGTCTTTATCCACACCTCATAGACTGAGCTCTTCAGCCTGGGTGGTTTCAGTTCCACCCACTTGCTCTGGGGCAAGAGTGAAGGAGGCGGCATTGTACTGAATGTGATGTTAGTTGTCCACACGGTGAAACCGCCTCCTTCTAAAGCCCTGGGAGAGGATGGAGTACAATGCTGGCACCTGCTCTAGATGACATCACCGGGTAATTATGCCCCGCCCTACCTGGAGATAGTACTTTGAAAAGAACTTGCCTTACAGATCATTTGGTCTGGTGACCCAGCCTACTCTCCTTTAAGGATAGCTCGGATCCTTTTTCGGTTTGTTTTTTTTTGGGGGGGATGGAGTCTTGCTTTGTCGCCCAGGCTGGATGCAGTGGTGCCATCTCGGCCAGCTCACTGCAAGCTCCGCCTCCCAGGTTTACGCCATTCTCCTGCCTCAGCCTCCCGAGTAGCTGGGACTACAGGCGCCGCCACCACGCCCGGCTAATTTTTTTTGTAGTTTTAGTAGAGACGGGGTTTCACCGTGTTAGCCAGGATGGTCTCGATCTCCTGACCTCATGATCCGCCCGCCTGAATAACTAATTTCTCCACTTGTTTTTGCTAATCGAGAACATATATATAAACATATAATAAAACAAAAACAGCGAACAAATAGTAAATAGTGATCAAAATTGGGCTGGGCTTGGTGGCTGAAGCCTGGAATCCTAGAACTTTGGGAAGCCAAGGTGGGAGGATTGCTTGAGCCCAGGAGTTCCAGATCAGCCTGGGCAACATGGTGAGACCTTGTCTCTACAAATAATAATAAAAAAAATAGCTAGCCGTGGTGATGCACGCCTATGGTCCCAGCTACTTGCGGGGGGCTGAGGTGGGAGGATTGCTTGAGTGTAGGCAGTTAAGGCTGCAGTGAGCTGAGATTGTGCCACTGCACTCCAGCCTGAGTGACAGCGTGAGACCCCCATCTCAAAAAAAAAAAAAAACAAAGAAATATTGGCTATTTTAGTAAGTGTGTATGGCCTTTTGGTGGTAAATGACTGATTTCCATTTTTAAATATTAAAAATAGCTTACAAAATCATCATTACAGTCTTCATGGATGTTCAGGGATTCACTGATCCAATCCTTTTATTTTATCAATGAGCAGAATAAGGAAGGCAGGCCCTGGAGAGGCCAAACAACACAGCAGTCACAAAGCTGCATAATGGTGCCAACTGGCTTCCAGCCCAGCCTCGCGGTCTCTCCACATCGTGGGGACTTCTGTTCCCATCCCCTTGCCCGTCCTTGGCCAGCAGGAAGTTCCCAGGTTAATAATACAGGTCATTTATTGAGCATCTGCTGGTGTCCAGGAGCTGTCAGGCTGTTCTGATGTCCCTCTTCCAGATAATGGCCCAGAGAGGTCAGCTCAGGGTCACAGAGTTAGTACAGGGCCCTGCTGTAAAGGTGAGCAAGGGCAGGAGATGAGGAAGATGACAATGGCTTCCTCGTTCACTGTTTCCCTGCCCCGGGCTTTGGCTGGCAGCCCAGTGTCTCTGAGGCCGGAAGTCACTCTGGAGACTCAGCGGCCTCAGACGTTTGACTTGGTGCACCAGAGGCCGACTGATCAGACTGGATGGCTAAGGGCCTGGGCTTCATGGAGTGACTGTTTCAAAACTTCTCACACCGACACAGATCCCAAGACACTCTTACATTAACAAACCCCAGTGACAGTCTGTTCATGTTTTGGTAAATACACTGCTCCATTCACCAAAATGCTGTGTCTGCCAGCCAGGCCACTCCCAAAACCCAAAACAGTTACAAGAAAGAAATTTGGTGAGTACAAAGTCAGATCAAAGCAAGTGAGATCAGAGTTTTCATGGGTTGTTCACACAGGCTTTGAGGAGGCAATGTCTCTCTTTTGTGGACAGAGCTGTGATACAGACTCCTTCCTGTTCTCAGCCTTTCATTTATTTATTTATTTTTTAAAAAAAGCTTTCTGGAACTGTAATTCACATACCGTACATTTCACCCATTTAAAGTGTACAATTCAAGGCTGGGTGTGGTGGCTCACACCTGTAATGCCAGCACTTTGGGAGGCCAAGGCGAGAGGATCGCTTGAGGCCAGAAGTTTGAGACCACCATGGACAACAACACCATTTCTACTAAATAAAAAAATTAGCCAGGTGTAGTGCTGTGCACCTGTAGCTACTTGGGCAACTGAGGAGAAAGGATTGCTTGAGGCCAGGAGTTTGAGGCTGCCGAGAACCATGATTGTGCCACTACACTCCAGCCCGGGCAGTGGAGTGAGGCCCTGACCTTTAAAATAAAATAAAATAAAATAAAATAAAATAAAAAATATAAAATGAAAAAATAAATAAAATTAAATAAAATTAAATAAAAATTAAATAAAATAAATAAAATTAAATAAAAAATATAAAATGAAAAAATAAAATAAAATAAAATAAAATAAAATAAAATAAAATAAAATAGATGGAGTACCTCAAAACTCTGAACAGGACATACGAGTTCCTGGTGTGCAGGAACCGGTGACCTAATCACCCTGCTGTGTTCCTCCG